TCTTTTACTTGAAAATACTTAAAACTGAGAAAATATTACAATTTTGGAGCAAAAGACGTGCATGACAGCGCAAGAGGTTAAAGTGAAGACTTGCACAAGCTTCAATTCATATATTTTAAAGTCGTTTAAATCCCCGACTCGTGTCTACACAGAAATTTCTAACAGAAATTATAAATTGGTCAGTTTGACTTTTGGCGACGAGATATTTTTCATCTTTTTTTTTTTTTTTTTAATAGTGAAACAAACGTATTACTTTTTTTTTTTAAGACTGCAGTAAAATGATTGAACGAAATGAATTAAATTTTAATTCATTTCTTAATTCAATGACGCCCCGGACAAGGAATGCATAATTTATGAACGAGAGAAGAAAATTTTCGTTTGGTTAGTTTTAATCTCTATATATATAGTGAACTGATTAAAACTCCATTTGTACGATCACGTTGAAGACAATATGATTTGCAGAATTGGGCTGATTCTTCAACGTAATAGTTACAATTCTTTTTTCTTTTCGACAAATCCAGGGAAAATTCGAGCTTGAATAATAGAAATGAATGATGAGACCGGAGGTTATAAATCCTCTCACAAATTTTCTCTTTATTACTTAGAGATCTAAATAACAGTCACACTCTTTCTCTCTCTCTCTCTCTCTCTCTCTCTGATAGCAACGTTCCTCCACGGTCTTTTACCTCCTTAAATAATTTCTCGATAAATCCACCTCGGTTTATTAATAAACTCACACCTTTTACAGCGGTGAGATGAACTCAGATAATGGAATTTCAACGAACGAAACGTCGCTTTCGATCGAACATCTAAAAAAAAAAAAAAAAAAAATACATCGTAATTCGTACACTCGTATACGATACACGGGGAAGCAGTGGCTGAATTAAGCCATTAAATTTCCCTCGATGTGTACGAGATAGTGTGTACTTAACGAGAAGTTCTCTCGTCGAGGCTTTAATGAACGCGCGTTCAACGCGCTGAAATTATTGCTCGTCGTAACGCGTTGATTTTGCTGAACGAGGCATGGGCTCGCGTGAAGATGCGTGTCGATACACGCTTGTATGACATAAATATGCATTAACGCGGCGCGTTTAGCCACCGTTACTAATAAGCACTTAATTATGAATGAAAATAATAGGCGCAAACCGCCTCAGTCTCGAAACACACTTTCCTCGTCGCATGTTCCATCCGGTTCAACGACTCCTTATAGATGAGGAAACGCGGCGTCTTCTTCTAGAAATCGGGACGACGCAGAGTCCACGAGAACGTGGAGAGGGATTTTCGAATTTTTGCGCGAGGAATTTTTTTTAGGTTTTGTCACTTTCTTCCTTTTTGCGATTAAACCTGCCAATTGCCGCTGGCAACCGATTGCGGACCATAACGAGCGACCGAACCGTATACAACGATTCGTCGCTTTCTTTTTGAACTCTCGTCTCATTGGTATGATATGACTAGATAGATTATTATTGAGAAGTGATAAATTTATTATTTGTTTTGCCTGGACTATACCTAAACATATTTAAAACTGAAAATATTGCAATTTTTAAACAAAAAGTTGTCAACGGTACGCAAGAGGTTAAGATTGTTAAAATACGAAATTGGATTTTTGAAGCTTCAATTAATTGTCAAAACGAAGCAAGTTGATACATGACTGCGATTTAATTTACTTGAATTTAATTTTTTATACGGCGTTGCTGAATTCCACTTGATAGTAGAAAAATTCTTGCCTTTAATGAAATTTAACCGTGTTAAATGACAATTGTACCTTTAGTTCAACTTTGGTGGCTTCTATTTTTTTTTTTTTTTTTTTGACCATGATCGAAGAAAGGTTTACGTTGAGATTAAGTGTCAAGTAAGTTCAATTTTGTATTTAATAATTCGTATGATAATTCGATTCCTAGTTAGATTATGATCGAAGAAACGTTGAGATGTATCAAGTTCATTCTTTTTGTATTTAATAATTCGTATAATAATCAGATTCTTAGGTTAGATCAGAAATGAGCCAAATTCACGGGAGAAGATTATAGGTGAAGCGAATCTCGACTATTCAACGTAATTAATAATGTAATTGTATTCACATCTCACGGATACGAGTAATTGAACTGGCAGGAAGTAAATTAGAAATATGTTAATGCGCTGCAGATCTATCATGACGTGCTCGCCCTTCTTTTCTATTGATTCAACGTGCTAAAACTAGAACAATATCTGTTCTAGGAGAATTTTTACATTTCACAAAAAAATTTCAAAGGTCAAGAATTTTCAAATTTTCCGCTTTGATGTTTCTCAGATTTCCAAATTCTTGAATTTCTACTTCCGAGGTTTTCAGATTTTTAACTTCTCCCAACTTCTTCGCACCACCGAATTGTAAAATTTCTAAACTCGACTCTGAGGTATTTTCAAGTTGAAAATTTTCTAAATTCTAAATTCTAGAATTTCTCTTTTCCAATATATATATATATATATATATATCCAAAGAAAGCTGTAAGAGAATTCCAAATTCTAAATTCTAAAATTTCTCTTTTCTAAAAAAAGAAAAAAATCTCCAAAAACTGTAAAAGAATTCCGAAACTTCTAAAAGAAAAACTTCTGTACACAGAAATACTCCCTGCACGTTATTTATATACCAGAGTGTGTAAGAGTTAATATCTCGCGCGCGTACAGTGCGAGAAAAATGCGCACACACATGCACACACTAAGAGAGAGATAAAAATTCTAGAAAAAGAGAAAAAAAGATTTCGCGTGCCAAAAAAAGAACAGAGAGCCGTGTCGAGACAAAGAATCCGCTGGCGTGTTACGTAACGTAATGATCTGGTAATCGGCCGCGTGAATTCGCGAACGGCTGCAAATCTCTGCTACGTGACGAATTCCGCGAGCACCGGGTTTTGTTTGGTCGTCGCGTACTACGTTAAGCTGGTTGGCATTAGGCGGACAGCTCGTGGCTACCATCGGCGCAGCTTGCGTTTACTGTGTACGTATTTAAGAGGAATCCACCGATAACACAGATCCAACATAGATTTTCCTCGCGGAATTTTTATCGTTCTCTCTCTTCTTGTCCTTTCTGTTTCCTCTTTTCATCATAATAAAATTATTATCCTCCGAGATTCTTAACAGATTCAATCGTAAAGAGAAAGTCTAGAGGAAAAATGTGACGATGTGATAGTTTGAAAAACTATTAATGATTTATTACAAATCGATTCTGGACGTTCGTATAAATTCGTAATTTCATGAACGAAGTTTACCTTTGTCGTGGATAATTTTGATCATTTGAGCTTTTCTCCCGTTAATTTACTTTATTTGTCACGATAGAAGGATTGGATTTGAAACTGTTAGAAAATCATGAGTAGATTTCAAATATTTATGTAAATTCGTGTCTTCACGAAAAAATAAAATTATATCTGAACAAAGATTTGCCTGAAACTAAATAACTTTTCGACTGAACTACATCAAACTACATCAGACTTCATCCTTCTTTAACTATCCCCAATTAACGTGATCATTTCTAAAAAATCCAACCATCTGTCAGTTATAAAATTTTTCACCCAGCAATCAAAGTGTAACCTAAACATCGTCAAAAATAGCACAAACTACATCAAACTTCATGCTTACACTTTCTTTAACTATTTACAATTAACGTGATCATTTATGAAAAATCCGACCGTCTGTCAATTATAAAACTTTCCACCCAGCAATCAAAGTGTAACCTAAACATCGTCAAAAATAGCACAAACTACATCAAACTTCATCCTTACACTTTCTTTAATTATTCACAATTAACGTGATCATTTCTGAAAAATCCAACCATCTGTTAATTATAAAACTTTCCATCCTGCAATCAAGGTAACCTAAACACCGTTAAAAATAACATAAACTACATCAAACTGCACCAAACTTCATCCTTTACACATTCTTTAATTATTCACAATTAATGTGATCATTTTTCAAACATCCAACCATCTGTCAATTATAAAACTTACCATCCAGTAATCAAAGCGTAATCTAAACACCGTCAAAAATAGCATAAACTACGTCAAACTGCATCAAACTTCATCTTTAATTATTTGCAATTAACACGATCATTTCTGAAAAATCCAACCACCTATCAATTATAAAACTTTGTAAAATCCGGCAACGGAGGTGTAACCTAAACGTCCTAAAAATAACGTAATCATTCTCAAACGAGCGTGCAATAGCAAAAAAAGAAAAAGAAAAGAAAAGAAAGAAAAGAGATTACGGGAGTCAGAGTGGAGCAGTTACACGGTGTATGAACAGAGAGGGGTGGTAGCGAACGTTTCGCCGGCAATTAACCGGATCTCCCTCTTATTTCCTCTTCCTTTTTGCGTTTTGGTCGCGTGACTTTCCGCTCGAGGCGAGCCCTCGGCTGGTTCCGAGTATCCGAAACAACAATAAGCGTTTCCTCAGCCGTGAGAATTTCCCCCTTCGTCTTTGCCCCGTTTTCATTCCGTTCTACCGTGAAGCGTTCGATGCTCGGATTCTCACAATCAGTCCAGTCATCGTGTCGTTTCGTTGCGAATCCAAAAACCATTTTCCACCCAGGGAAACATTTTCTGCTAACCGATGAAAATCCACCCCCTCTGTTTCTACGGCTTTCCTTTCTTTCTTTTTTTCCGTATAATTCCATTGTTGCTCGGAGGCAATTCGCCGCGACTAACGAACCGAAACGATCCAGGTAAATTGCTCTGTTTTGTCGGTGCTTTGTCCGAGTAAAAAAGGGAGTGTGAGAAGGAGGGTTTCAATAGGAGATGAAAAGAGGTGTGAGCGATCGGTTCATTGAATTCGAGGGTGAGAGTTGCTGCGGTGGAGCAACAGGTATTATTGAAGCGGAATGTTTTGTGAGGATTTTTTTTTTTTTTATTATATTAGTTTTTAATATATACAGTGAAGGTATGGAGATAGATACACGAATGGATTCATTACGGTATTCAGATTTTTTTAGTTCAAATAGTTTAAACAAGCTTTGTGATTTGTCGCTTGTGTAACAGGACTTGGCGCCAAGTAGATCCAGCCGTACGTAGTCAGACGTCGCGTGGGTTTGATCGAACTGTGAGTAAAATTTTCGTTTCAATAAATGGAATTCTACTGTGAATATTGCACAATGCGAATTCCTTTTTACGAACTACTGTGATAAATCTTCAACTAAATATTTTATATATCCATTTATCGAAATGTTTGCTCAAAGAATAACGTAAGAATGATTAGAGCCAACTTTTCCTATTTATCTGATCTATTTTTGTCCAAATATTCTACACGCTAGATTCGCATCGCTACCTGATAGCGATATTTATCAATCCAACAAAAGTTCATATTAATAAGCAACTTGCTTGGCTATTATCTAAAATTTTATTTTTTTATTTAAGCCTCGTTTGAGGTTTGTTACAGTTATATCCGTAGAACCAACTAAAATACGTAGTTGGTTTTTTATACAGAAATCACTTCCCACTACTAAAATACATCCGTAATAAATAATTTTTAAAACGTAATAAAAAAAAAAAAATTAGTCTGAACTCAAATTTAATTTAAAATTAACAAAATTAGTTTTCTCTTACATTTTGATGTTTTATTTAAAAAAAAAAAATAGGAGGAAACTTTTGGCAATGATTATGTCGATATAATTTCTATTCGCTGACATTCTTGACAATCTCAATCCTTTGGTATTTCATTTCGACAAATAAATATAACCATAACCGTAGTACGTCTTCCATATGACGACTCGTGCTCAGCGAAAGAAACAGCAGGCCCTGAAATGGCCCTGGTCATCTTCAGCGTCCCAAGGGCTGAGCCGACCTGACCTAACCTCACTCTGCGCTACGAGATGTTGTACAGCGATCGTGGATCGCGGAAAACTCGGCGCAAGAAGCCCGGCGTACGTACAAGAAGAGGGTCGGTGGAAACGATCGGAGAGGCGGTGACCAATAAGGTCGGCGGAGAACGGATAAGAGTCCCGCAGTCGGAGAACGATGGACCGCCTCCCGGGCCTGTTCCCCGGGCCCGCCAATAGCTTTGCTCTTTCCTTTTAATATGCGAACACTCGCCGTCGTTCGATCGCCGCTCTCCTAATGAAAAAAAAAAAAAAAAGAAAGAAAGAAAGAAAAAGAAACTCACACTCTAACTACCTAGAGCTAGGTGTTAGATACGTGGTCACTGTCGCTGGACATTTCTACTTGCCCCCTCATTTACCTTCGACTCACCTGTTTGTTCTCCCCCCTCCTTTTTTTTTAGGTGTCGTAGTTGAGGTTGAATTGGAATTGATGTTTCGTCGTAGTTGAGGTTGAATTGGAATTGACGTTTCGTCGTAGTTGAGGTTGAATTGGAATTGACGTTTCGTCGTAGTTGAGGTTGAATTGGAATTGACGTTTCGTCGTAGTTGAGGTTGAATTGGAATTGACGTTTCGTCGTAGTTGAGGTTGAATTGGAATTGACGTTTCGTCGTAGTTGAGGTTGAATTGGAATTGACGTTTCGTCGTAGTTGAGGTTGAATTGGAATTGATGTTTCGTCGTAGTTGAGGTTGAATTGGAATTGATGTTTCGTGGAATTGTTCTGCAGGTGGAGTTGACTAGAGGGCGAGAGGATTTTTAAATTGATTGTGAGCCGGTAGCTCTGAGGAAAGTTCTTTTTTTTTTTTTTTTTATATGGGGATTTAGAGTCGCATCGACTACGAGATCTTCAGCGACGTGCTTTTCTCTTTATATTTGGTCTAGTTGGATCTCCTTTAGGTAGTTGATAAGGTAGTTTTTTTGTTGATAAGGTAGTTGATAGGTAGTTTTTTTGTTGTTTCTGGCAGGTCAGAGCGGTGTTTACCTCTTATGTTTCGGTATTTTTTGGTAGGGTGGGTTTTCTTTTCAGGAAGTTGATAACGGTTTTTTGTTGTTTCTGGCAGGTTAGTATCCGTAGTTACTTCTTAGGTTTCGGTATTATACATTCATGTAGCAGATGTTGGTGATTTGTTGGTTGCACGTGTTAAAGAAAAGTGGTTCTGTTTTACTTAGGAGGTATTCGTGATCTTAAAAGTGTCCGATTCAAAGTCTAGTCATAGCTATCCTTTCTTTTCTGTTTATATTGTTGTTTGGTATTTTTCGGTAGAAATGGTGTGCTACGTCGTATATTTTGGTTCTATTTGTCGTAGTCCAAATTCTGTTCCATTCTTCTCTTTCCGCTTTGGTCGTTGAAGCTAGTAGATCTTGTTGTGAGATTGGGGAAGATTCTTGATGGAATTGTTCTGCAGTTTTTAATTCTTTCCCGTTAAATCAAGTTGCTTGCTCCTTTCGAGTCTTTTCGTAGGTTATGGTTAGGTAGTCTGAAGTGACGTGGTTTTTGAAATTAATTTATAGAATGTGATGTTGCTAAAGAGTAAGCGTCGTTTAGGATAGTTTGAGCTTGAATGGATTCTTAAATTACTTGCGAGTCGATGGTTCCTGGGTTCTGATATTTTGTAAAATTACTAGACGAGTCTCTTTGTAGGTTAGATTTAGATTTAGGTTAATTTAGATCAAATGTTCATTGTTTTGGTTATTCCTTTCAACCTACAACATTGAAGAGATTGTACACGTTTTGGTCACTCGTTATGGTCCGCCTATATATCAGTTGCCAGCGCAAGTAGTTGAATCAGCCGAAACAGTCCAGAACATATCGATAAGATACATAAACATCTTCAATTCAATCCCACAGGAGACCGTGATATTTGCGCGGCCCTGTACACGGGGGCAGATAAGTTCTATCCAAAGCTACACGGGCCGGGATGTAGATACGGGGCCGAGTGTCGGACGTATCGCAGGAAGGGAGCCTAGGTGGATGTAGCACACGTGGACGTAGAGGAATGGCGAACGTAAACGTACGAGGACGATCGCAGACAACGAGCAGAAAAAGGTGGAGGAACAGGGGGTCAAAGTCGTGACCACGGTGTCGAGTTGGAAAAATGCAAAAAGGCGCCACTGTAACCTGAACAGGGGCCACCGTATCACGTGACTCCCTCTCTCCTCCTCTGTTTTTTCCTCGTATCGTGTATTTCGCATCCTCCGCGTCCATTTTGCAAATCTTTCGATCTCGCCCTCTCCTCTCGCGCTCCATCGTTTCCATTTCATTTCATTTCGTACACGTTGTGACAGAAATATGGAAAATTCATTAGCTAATGTACGTGTATATAAATGGCGGTAATTTTCGAATTGTCGCAAAATTCCCAGTGCAATTTATTACGGAGTACAGTGTAAAATTTTTGTACAAATTTCGACACTGTGTATAAAAAGGTGGCTGTATATAACCGTGTTTAATAGAGTTACGTAGACAGTGTACCGTAGGGAATTAACGAAGTAAAACTTCGGGGCTCGTTACGCTCCGTTTTTAGAAACGATAGATTTTTAGTTAGGTTAATCAGATCAATTAGTCTAGTTAGTTATGAAAGAATCCAGCCAGTTAACCTGCGTCTCTAATCAGAAAGACGAAAACATGGAATATTATATTTTCGTAGGAAAATTGTAAGCAAAGTCGTAACGTGTTTGCAATTGAACTTTACAGGTGTATGTATATTCTGTCGAGAGTTAGATGCACGATCCCGTGATACGCGCGAGATCCCTATCGAGGAATCTTAATTAACAAAAAATAACAGGCCTGTTGATCCAAGAATCCGTTAGCAAGACGAGCTCACAATATATCAATTGCTGAGCAGACGATGAGCAAAAAGATGGAAGTGCCAGTCAGTAGGTCGTCAAACTACTAACGAAGAAATTTGCAGATGAACGTTTTCAAAAAATATTCCAAATTTAAATTCTACTTTATTTCAAAAAAAAAAAAAATATTCCAAATTTAAATTCTACTTTATTTCAAAAAATATTCCAAATTTAAATTCTACTTTATTTATGTCTGAATTATTCACAAGTTTCTCAAAAATTTCACTTTTTCAACTCTCTGTCTTTTTACCAAGTTTAGTTTCATCCTCCCTTTGCTTCTAATCTTTTATTTTTCACCGTTTCTGAACATCAACTCCATCCTGGATCGTTCTCCCTCATCATTATCTTCGCCTTCGTCGTAAATCGATTCGTGATTGTCCAAACATTAACGTGTTAATATCTTCTTCGATCGGTTTCACGAGTTAACAACGTATCGTTCGTACGTTATTAAAAAATTAAAAAAAAAAAAAAAACAAAAGCACCTTTTTTAAAAAAAAAAAAAAAAAAAAAAAATGTGAAAGAAAGGAGCAATACGTGGGATGCTCGTCATTGGGACGATTCCAGAATCGCATTTCCCTTTGATGGAATTTCTCGGAAATACGTAGGCGTAGAAAATGCATGGAACTATGCTGGTATTTATGACTTATAAATAGGAGAATTGCTCGACTCTACTATTTCTTTTAATAATCCAATGGTATGAAACGAATTGAATTGTTGAATCGTTTTACGATAAGTGGGTGGTTTGATATTCAAAGGTTGGCAGTTTCGAAGGACACTTTGAACTATTTCTTCTCGTATTCGTTGATGAAAATCGAACTTGAACAGCTACGTGAGAGGAATACGGTGCTCGATTTTCATTTCTATCCAGTTTGCAGAAACGTAGATTCGAATACCAGAATTATTCGATTTTAAGTATCAGTGGAAGTTCTGTTCGTGTACAGAGCTGGGCGAATTTTCATTTCAAGCAATATGTAATAGATGATAATTTTAGTAGATTTTATTATTTCATTTAAATTTAACAATTTATTGTTTAATATCAAATACAATATTGTACAACATCAGAAATAATTCTTCAAATTCTTGACTAAATGCGTTTAATTATACACGCATTAGCCACGCTCCTGGCATGAATTATAATTCCAATTTAAAATTCCTGTAAAATTTCGAGCCGAGGTTTTGATTTAAATTTCGTTGAATTAAAAATTACTAAACACAGATTACACAATATTTCAATATTTCAACGTCTGACGGGAAAAGAAGATCACATATCAAGGAGTTAAGAAAAAGTATGACAAATAAGCTACGAATTTTCATGCATTGGCGAAATATTTGAAAGTACAGA